GCGGGTGCGGGGGTGCGTTTTTTGTTTTTGCTGCGGGGCGGGGGCGCGTTCTTTTTTTTGCTGCGGGTGCGGGGGCGACACGCGCCAGGTCACTCACTCACCTGGGGGGTGGGGAGGAAGGGGGGGGGGGGGGGGGGGGGGGGGGGTTTTTTTTTTTTGCTGCGGGTGCGGGGGTGCGTTTTTTTTTTTGCTGCGGGTGCGGGGGCGACACGCGCCAGGTCACTCACTCACCTGGGGGGTGGGGAGGAAGGAAGGGGGGGGGGAAGTGAGGGGGGAGAGGCGGGGGGGGGGGGGCGCGTTTTTTTTTTGATGCGGGTGCGGGGGCGAGTTTTTTTTTTTTGATGCGGGTGCGGGGGGCGCGTTTTTTTTTTTTTGCTTCTGACGGGTGCGGGGGCGACACGCGCCAGGTCACTCACTCACCTGGGGGGCGGTGGGGAGGAAGGGGGGGGGAAGGGGGGGGGGGGTGCGTTTTTTTTTTGCTGCGGGTGCGGGGGCGCGTTTTTTTTTGCTGCGGGTGCGGGGGCGACACGCACCAGGTCACTCACTCACCGGGGCGGCCCCCGAAAAAAACACCCACAACAAAAAAGCACCCACAACAAAAAAAAAAACACGGGTTCCAACCCTACACCCTTGAACCCTAAACCCAAAACCCTAAAAACCCTAAAACCCCTAAAGCCCTAAAGCCCTAAAACCCTAAAACCCTAAAACCCTAAAACCCTAAAACCCTAAAACCCTTAGACTCTAAAACCCTAAAGCCCCGAAAACCCTAAAACCCTACACCCCTAAACCCTAAAACCTCTAAAACCCCTAACACCCTAAAACCCTAAAACCCCAAAACCCTAAAACCCTAAAACCCCTAAACCCCTAAACCCTAAAACCCTAAACCCTAAAACCCTTAGACCCTAAACCCCTAAAACCTTAAAACCCCTAAACCTTAAAACCCTAAAACCCCAAAACCCTAAAACCCTTAGACCCTAAACCCTAAAACACCTGACCCCCCTAACCCCTAAAACCCGAAAACCCCTAAAACCCCTAAAACCCTAAAAGCCTAAAAGCCTAAAAGCCTAAAACCCTAAAACCCTAAAACCCTAAAACCCTAAAACCCTAAAACCCTAAAACCCTAAAACCCTAAAACCCTAAAACCCTAAAACCCTAAAACCCTAAAACCCCTAAACCCTACAACCCTAAACCCCAAAACCCCAAAACCCTAAAACCTCTAAAACCCCTAAAACCCTAAAACCCTAAAACCCCAAAACCCTACAACCCTTAGACCCGAAAACCCTAAAACCCCTAAACCCCTAAACCCTAAAACCCTAAACCCTAAAACCCTTAGACCCTAAACCCCTAAAACCCTAAAACCCCTAAACCTTAAAAACCTAAAACCCTAAAACCCCAAAACCCTAAAACCCTTAGACCCTAAACCCTAAAACACCTGAAACCCTAAAACCCCTAAAACCCGAAAACCCCTAAAACCCTAAAAGCCTAAAACCCTAAAACCCTAAAACCCCTAAACCCTAAAACCCTAAAACCCTAAAACCCCAAAACCCTGAAACCCCTAAAACCCTAAAACCCTAAACCCTAAAACCCTAAAACCCCTAAACCCTAAAACCCCTAAAACCCAAAAACCCAAAAACCCTAAAACCCTAAAACCCCTAAACCCGAAAACCCTAAAGCCTAAAACCCTAAACCCTAAACCCTAAACCCTAAACCCTAAACCCTAAACCCTAAACCCTAAACCCTAAACCCTAAACCCCCAGCCGAGCCGCAGTGGCCCAGCGCCGGCCGGTGCGTTGACGGCCTCCTCGCTGTCATCCACCACGACCGCCAAGGGAACCTAATAGGGTTTAGGGTTAGGGTTTAGGGTTTAGGGTTTAGTGTTTAGGGTTTAGGGTTTAGGGTTTAGTGTTTAGGGTTTAGGGTTTAGGGTTTAGGGTTAGGGTTTGGGGTTTGGGGTTTAGGGTTTAGGGTTTAGGGTTTAGGGCTTCTATAGGGGCCTTCATATAGTTAGAACAAGGTTTTGGGGGGTCATTTTGCTTTATCTTTAAAGGGACTGTAAGGAAATGCTACTAGTAATTCTTCCGACCCCTACATTAGAACCAGGAGAGAGAGGGGCAAGACGGTACCACTGGGCTACCAACTTCTTTGGGGCTTTTTTGGAGTTTGGACCCTTTAGACGAGGTTGAGGCTTTAGGGATACACGCGAGAGTTTTTGTTGGGTGCCACATGTTTGAAGGGACTACTAAAGCACCCTACGGGCTATTTTGGGGCGACGGAAACAGTGACCTATGTGACTATCAGAAAGGGTTATAAGTACTCCTATGAGTTCCTCCTGATCTCCCTTGACTGAACCGTGAATTCCCTGAACCCTTCATAATTACCTGCAACGGATATCGGAATCGGATTATGGTGTAGAGCTGGGTCTAGCGTTTAGGATTTCGGGTTTAGGGTTCAGGGTCTAGGGTCTAGGGACTAAGGTTTAGGCTGCACGCACCTTGCCTTGCCACTCTTCGACTTTCGAAGGCTCCGCAGCCATTGCCTGGTCAAGGGAAACAACCGCAAGCAAGTTTAGAGTTTAGACGAGTGGGTGTATGGTTTTGAAGTGTTTGAGGTGTAGCCAAGACCCACCAAGCCCCAATAAACCCCAACAACCAACTTTCCAGAAGCCCCACAGTACAAACCTCCCCAAAAACCCAAAAGCCGGGAAGTAAAAAAAAAAACTCAGAAAACCCGAAAACCAGTTAACCCCGAGCTAAACCCTAAACTTGGCCCTAAATCCTAAGCCCTAAACCCTAAACTGCCGAGAGCGCCGCTGTCCACCTCGAGGCTTCGACCGAGGTCCCCGACCGAGCGTCTCCACAGAACGGTTAGATGGGGCCTGCAGTGCCTGGCTACGCCTTAGACACTAGGGCGTAAGCCCCATGACTACCAAGTTGGACCCCTGAGACCCGTCTGGGACCTCCGAGGGACCCCTCACACCCCTGGCTAAAAGCAGTTTCCGGCCGAGGCATCTGCGACCCCCAACCGTTTTGCTGCCCGTTGAGGGGCCCCTCTCAGGCTTCATGAAACCCGAAAGGGGGGGCGGGATTCAGGAATTGCCCGGACTCGTAATGAAAATGCGAGTTTTGTTTATAGTATTGAAACCGACGGTTTGGGGCGCCCTCCATTTTACTCCGCGAAAGCCTCAAGAAGGCCCACGAGCCACTAACAGGCTCCGGAAGGCTCCAGAAGGCCCCCGAAACCCCCCTCCTCTTCCTCGCCTACAATTCGGAAAGAAGTAACAAGCAAGAAAGCCCCCCTTGAGGGGGGGTTTTGGGGGTGAACCCTAAACCCTGAATGAGAATAGTTTGGGTGGTTGGGGCGGGACTACATGCTAACGCAAGCGAGCGACCCGGGTGCTTTTAGCACCAGCGAGCTTCCCTCTATACACCCTATACCCCCCTAAACCCTAAACCCTAAACACTAAACCCTAAACCCTAAACCCTATAGCCCTAAACCTTAAACCCTAAACCCTAAACCCTAAACCCTAAAACCCAAACCCTAAACCCTAAACCCTAAACCCTGAGCGCCCTTCATCCAAGCAGCTGCGGGGAGCCCGCAGCGCCGCAGAGGGACCGGGAGAGGGCCAAGTGCTGCCTTGGGACGAGGTTTCGTGGGGTTTAGGGTTTAGGGCTAGGGTTTAGGGTTTCGGGTTTCGGTTTTGGGTTTGGGGTTTCGGGTTTAGGGTGAAGGGTTGGGGTTTAGGGTTTGGGGCGGCAGGACTTATAGGGTTGGCTTAGGTTTTTTTACTGACACTTACTTCTAAGCCTCACGAGCGCTGAACTAGCGGCATGATCTGAGGATCGATGAAGAGAGGGAGAGAATGCAGAGAAGAAAAGAACAAGAACCAGACTGGGGAAAGGAAATCGGGAATCCACCGGGCACTCGCTTGTCGCTGCCCGAAAGATCGAGCGCAGCAGAAGAAACATGATTGGGAGGGTGTAATCTCATACTGCCAACCACACCGGCCCCATCGCCTCCAAAGAAAGCACGAAGAAGGGAACCCTAAACCCTAAACCCTAAACCCTAAACCCTAGACCCTAAACCCTAAACCCTAAACCCTAAACCCTAAACTGTGGTTTCATGGCTTTTGGGGCGGGCTTCAGGGGCTCCATCGTCTGGATCTTAGGGTTGTTTTGGGCTCTGGGGCTTTGAGGGCTTTCTGGGTTTTAAAGCACTGAACCCTGAACCCTGAACCCTGAACCCTAAACCCTAAACCCTAAACCCCAAACCCTAAACCCTAAACCCTAACCCGCGTCTTGCGGAGTCCAGGGCCTTTTCAAGGCTCAGGGGCTTGGGCGCTTCGGGCTTCGGAACTCTCAGGGTTCAAACCCAGCTCGGGGTACCCAAGCTCCGGCGTATTCTATCCACAGCCTACTTGAAAAGGTACCCTAAACCCTAAACCCTAAACCCTAAACCCTAAACCCTAAACCCTAAACCCTAAACCCTAAACCCTAAACCCTAAACCCTAAACCCTAAACCCTATAGCCCTAAACCCTAAACCCTAAACCCTAAACCCTAGCTTCAAAAACATGGATACGAAGGTAGAAGCCTTTGGGAGGAGTGTACTTGGAGGTTCATGGTACTTGTCAACCAATTATAGCGGCACTTATAACCATATTAGGGTGCTTCAAGAGGCTTATAAGTGGGTTATAAGTACAGTCAAAATTGGTTAGTAAGTACCATGAACCTCCAAGCAGGGTTTCGCACCACACACTAGCCTGTAGGTGCTTCGGATTCAGGCCCTACGAGTTTGGGCACAAGATTTGATCCCTCTCATAATGTAATGCATGCTGAACGAGGGTTTAGGGTTTAGGGTTTAGGGTTTAGGGTTTAGGGTTTAGGGTTTAGGGTTTAGGGTTTAGGGTTTAGGGTTTAGGGTTTAGGGTGAACGAGGACCCCTAAAGCCCTCTGGAAGCCTCAGCAACTAAACCTTCGTGGGTGAGTTTATCGGACTTGGCAGGCTACCAAGTTTCAGGAAGTACTTCTCTTAGGCTTGCTTCACTCAAACCCGCAACCCCAAGCCGCGCAGCTGCTTGAAGACCCCTCAGTCACAGGGAGGAAGGGAGAGGAGGGCAGGGGAGGGGAAGGGAGGGGAGGGGAAGGGAGGGGAGGGGAGGGGAGGAGGGAGGGGGATGGGATGGGAGCATACCAACCTAACCCTAAACAGAAAACCCCTATCTCGCCCCCAAAAAAGATGCAAACCCTAAACCCTACACCCCCGGACCGACCAAAAGAAAGAAAACGGAATCACTACGATTGAGTGGTGGGAGTGGGGGGGGGGGGCAAAATCTTGGTAGCCCGGTTAACCATATCAAAATTAGGCACCGTTTTTGGGGGTTGGCTACTTTACAAGGGAACCTTGATCCAAAACAAACCCTACACCCTAAACCCTAAACCCTAAAACCTAAACCCTAAACCCGAAACCCTAGACCTAAAGGCTACCAAGCAAAGGGGGAAGGGGATCCAGGTAGCTGCAGCCTGGGTGCTCATAGCTCGGGGACTGGGAGTCCTCAGTGCTCGAGGAATTTAGAGGATTCTAGACTTAATCCCTGTTCCCCTAGAAAGAAAACAGGATCCTTTTTGTTTATATATCAGAAAGCCCATAACCCAAAAAGGAAAAAGGATCCCTAACACTGATTTAGTAGAGGGTTCAGAGGGTTTTAGAGGGTTCTGTAGGGCTTCATAGGGTTTGTAGGGTTTATAGGGTTTATAGGGTTTATAGAGTGTATACATAGGGTTGATGGGGTTGAGTGCCGATCAGTCTACGAGGTCGACCTTAAGAACTCCAGGGCGCTCGTTGGCAGCTTCCCTGAGAACCCTTTTAGGGCTTGGGGTTTAGGGTTTAGGGTTTAGGGTTTAGGGTTTAGGGTTTAGGGTTTAGGGTTTAGGGTTTAGGGTTTAGGGGTTTGGGTGTAGCGGTTACTAAGGGGTTGGGGAACCTACTTGCTCGGGGTAGTTACATGGTCCCACCCCTTGTCTACCCTATACAACCCAAGGGCCCAGACTTCAAAACGCAAAGGGGCCATATTATTGGCCTATGAAGCTACCCTTAGATACTTGCAAGGGCAGGTTTTTCGGGCCTCAGTTGAGTTGGCAAACTCCAATGTCCATTCAAGTAGGGCTAAAGGCTTAGAGATTGGATAGGGTTTCTTGCTCGAGGAGGCGTCCCCACCCGAATCCCCAATGCCCCAAAAGCACAAGAAGCAACCCTACAAACCCCGAACCTTCAGCGTTTCTGCCTAAACCCTAAACCCTAAACCCTGAACCCTGAACCCTGAACCCTGACCCCTGAACCCCGAACCCTGAACCCTGAACCCTGACCCCTGAACCCTAAACCCTAAACCCTAAACCCTAAACCCTAAACCCTAAACCCTAAACCCTAAACCCTAAACCCTAAACCCTAAACCCCAAGCCCAAGGCACCGGAGACAGGGAACGGGGCCTCGACGTGCTCCGCGCAGCCTCCAGGCGCAGGCTCCCATCTTTGATCACACAGGTTGGGTCGGTTATTTTGGCCCTGGACTCTAGACGGGTTTAGGGTTTAGGGCTTAGGGTTTAGGGTTTAGGGTTAGGGTTTAGGGTTAGAAGCCTTGGGAACCTTAAGGGGTATAAGGAGGGACTCCTTGAAGGGAACCTTAATCTTGCTCCCCTTTGCAACCCTTCCATGCACCTTATATAGGCCCTATATATCCCTATGTACCTAAGTAGCCCCTAAACAACCCCTTTAAAACACCTAAGGTCCCTTGTAAGGGTTCCTCCTTTTGTCCCTTGATAGCCTAAATCATGAGCAAGACTATCTATCCCCTTACCACGCCCTCATACTTATAACGGACTACCGAGATTATGAAACTTATGTCAATAAGGTTTTGGGCTTAAAAGGTCTTCAAGAGTTGCCGACCTGGAGTTGAGATTGGGCTTTGGTGACTTAGGGTTTCTGGCCAAGACAAACTTTGCAAATTCCTAAGCCTGACCCCAAACCTCCTCCCAGATTGTCAACACCCGTGACAACCCCGGAAAGACATCCACAAAACCTTCCGAAAGCCTAACAGACCAAACCGGCCTGTTAAGAGACCATCTCAGCACTTAAGCCCCCCACAAAACCTGACCCTAAGGGTCCATGTACCTAGACAGTGGGCTTTGCAGTGCCTCCCACACAGGGACTGTGGGGCTCAACAAGAACATGGTCATTGTAGCCACCCTACAAAAATTGGGAGCCCGAATGGCTTCGAGCCCTTAACCCCCTCAACCCCAAACCCTACACCCTAACCCCTATAGACCCGAAACCCTAAACCCCAAACCCTAAACCCCAAACCCTAAACCCTAAACCCTAAACCCTAAACCCCAAACCTTAAACGGGCCTGGTCTTCTGGCCCAGCGCGCAGGGCAGCATCCTCCGGCCCCGCACACGGACCTGTCGGATCCGGCTGCTGTCTTTTGCGAATGGGTTTAGGGTTTAGGGTTTAGGGTTTAGGGTTTGGGGTTTGGGGTTTAGGGTTTAGCAGGGCTGAGGCATGCTGTGAAGATATTTCAGCTCAGGTTTTGCAGAGTTCAGGTGTTGCAAGTGTTGGGTATCGGGCCACCAAGGTGTTGTTCGGGGCTCGAGTTAGGAAACAGTCGTCTTTCCAGGTCGTCCTAAACCCCAACCCCTAAACCCTAAACCCTAAACCCTAAACCCTATAACCCTAAACCCCAAACCCTAAACCCCAAACCCTAAACCCTATAACCCTAAACCCTAAAGAGGGGGACGCTGACTTGTGGCTCAGGATTCGATGTAAGAGGGGTTCTTACCCTAAGGATCCACTTACCATGTTACGATGCAAGGCAGGTTTAGGGTTTAGGGTTTAGGGTTTAGGGTTTGGGGTTTAGGGTTTAGGGTTTAGGGTTTAGGGTTTAGGGTTTAGGGCCCAAGTACTCCCTAGTTAGGCACATGGACCGCGTAGGGTTAGGGCTCAGGGCTGAGGGTTGAGGGTTGAGCCCGATAGAACCTAAGCCCCTTCGGGTGGCAGGGTTCAATTCAAGGCTTGAAAACCAAGCCACTGAGCCTGCACCAACAACAAGCGTCAGGGTTCTTAGGGTTTAGGGTTCAGGGTTCAGGATTTAGGCTTCTAGGGTTTAGGGTTCAGGGTTTAGGGTTCACCTAAGCCCCAAACCCTCTCCATGAGTTACTTGAGTAAGGGGTCCCCCTACCTCATCTCTGCGGTTTCGGCCTGGGGTTTAATTAGGTGTGGGTCCTACTTGCAAACCTGGGAACCCCAGGATCCATGACCAGGTTTTGGCTTTCGGGTTTAAGGGTTCAGGGTTCGGGGGTTTAGGGAAGCTTGGGTTCACGCTGAAAGCACCCTAAACCCGAAACCTCTGTCTGAGCCCTAAAATCCTCACCCCAAACCCTAAAACCCTAACACCTTCAAGACCTAAACCCCTAAAAACCTCACCCCAAACACTAAAACCCTAACACCTTAAAGACCTAAATAAACCCAAAAGCCCTATACCCTAAGACCCTAAACCCCAAACCCTAAACCCTAAACCCGAAGCCCTATCCCCTAAGACCCTAAACTCTTTTGTGGGCCTGGAGTGCCGAAGGCCACCCGGGACTTTTTTGCGAGGCAATCCTGCAGATTTTTCGGGGTTTAGGGGCTTAGGGGTTTAGGGTTTAGGGTTTGGGGTTTGGGGTTTAGGGTTTGGGGTTTATGGTTTAGGGTTTGGGGTTTAGGGTTTTAGGGTTTAGGGTTTGGGGTTTGGGGTTTGGGGTTTGGGGTTTGGGGTTTGGGGTTTAGGGTTTAGGGTTTAGGGTTTAGGGTTTAGGGTTTAGGGTTTAGGGTTTGGGGTTTGGGGTTTGGGGTTTGGGGTTTGGGGTTTGGGGTTCTTGTTTTGGGTTTAGGGTTTGGGGTTTAGGGGTTGGGGTTTGGGGGCTAGGGTTTGGGGTTTACGGTTTAGGGTAAACCCTTTTTTGGGGTTGGTTACTCTATAAGGGGTACCCAGCACCAAAAATTAAAAGGTAAATGGTACCACTGGGCTACCAAGGTAGAGTTTAGGGTACCAAAAAAGGACATGATGCTAGAGCCCGTCTAAACCCCCAAACCCCATACCCTCATTCGTACCCTAATAATACCGTACACCCTAAAATACCCTGAGCCCTCAACCCTAAACCCCGAACCCTAAACCCTAAACCCCGAACCCTAAACCCTAGACCCCGATTGCCCCCAAGGTACTGCCAGGCAGTTTAGTATCTTGGGAGAGCGCCCGCCTCTCTGCGCTTGGGGTAGCCGCCTTCGAGCACGAGGGGTGTCAGCCGTGGGGTGTCAGCTTGCTTGCTTAGACTCAATAAGTTTTATGTAGTTTTGGGGCTCTCAGCTACCCCCTAAACCCGAAATCCGACGACATTTCGGTGTCAAAAAACAGTCGGCCTACAGAAACAGCTCTTCACTGTCGGTGCCAGCAGCACGTTGACCCGGAACGCACCTACAGCAAAGCTTCCTTGCCCGACTTGAAGGTCCAGGGAACTTCTTATGATCCCGCGCATGAGTCCCGTAGGTATAGCATCCAAGCCGAAAAGTGGGTTCTTTAAGTATAGAGCTCATGCTAAGCCGGTAGCAAGCACCCCAGACCTTCAAATAGGCAACCCTGAACCCAGCAATCTCTTGCCACACTCCTTCAACAAGACCCTAAACCGTGAGCTTCACCCCGACAGGTGGGCAGGAACTGCTTAAGTAAGCCTCTGGAACACAGTAAAAGGCATAATTCACACACAGATATCTATATATATATATATGTATACATGTATATGTACATTTCAGGCCAGCTACCCACATGAAACTGTCCTAGGCTCCCCTCAGACCCGAACAAACCCTTGCAGGTCCTTTCAATACCCTAAACCCCGAACGATTTCTTTCCCTTAAGCCGTCCTAAACAATGAAACTTAAGAGATTGGAGCCTGGAACCACTTCTGGTTCCGCCGCAGCAGCCACATCTACAGCCTGACCGTGGGCGTGGAGGGAACTAGGGATTAGGGTTTAGGGTTTAGAGTTGCAGGGCTTCAGTAGCTTGGGGGTTTAGGGCTTCCTGCTTGTCGGGTCCTACAACAGGAAAACCCACACGGGCCGGAAGCTGGCTACAGGGCTTACACTTTGGGGATTAGGTTGTTTAGGATGTTTAGGGTTTAGGGCTTTGGGTTTAGGGTTCAGGGTTAATGTTAGACCCAGATTAGTGGGGGCCTCCTCTTTAAAGTCAATTTGGCCGAATTATTCAGGATCTCGTGACTGTTGGCGGGGTCCTCTTTAAAGTCAAACCGTCCGGGCACCGTAAGAAAATTCCACGTGGCGCGCCTTTAAAAAAAGATAACCGGGCATCGCTGCCCCTTTGAAACCTATCTAAACTCCTCCCTATTGAAATCATATAAGCCCCCGGGGCCGTGTAATCAGGCTCCCATCCACGCCTCGACTGTTCAGGGGGGCGGGGGGGGGGGGCCCCCCACACTAATCAGGGTCCAACATTAGGCCTTGGAGCCTTGCGGAGGCTCCTGGCAGGAAGGTGTTGAGGTCCAAGCTGTGTCCAGGTTTTTGTGAGGCCCTTCAGAGTACCCCGAAATCCCCAACGATAGGGTCCAGGGCTTAGGGTTCAGGGTTTAGGGTTTAGGGTTTAGGGTGGTTTCGGGTTTAGGGCTCACGCCTTTAGGTTCAGGGTTTAAGTTGCAGGGCTTAGGTTCGAAATTTCGGTTTAGGGTTTAGGGTTTAGGGCTTATATGGGAACCCTTGAACCTCCTTCCTTAAGAACCCGATTAATTGAAAAACAAAAAAACCACCTCCACGGCTTTGGGCCGCCGGCGAATGGCCTTCGGGAGGCTGTCTCGTCATGGAGGGGGGGAGGGGGGGGGGGAACCCTAAACCCTAAACCCTGAACCCTAAACCCTAAGGGTCGTGTACTCTGGTGACGACATGAACTCGAAAATTTGGGGGTCATAGACTCTAGTAGGGTTTAGGGTCCAGGGTCTAAGATTTAGGGGGGGGCCTATACCCTGTACTACTACAAGTCCTGGTGACCAAGGATGATGCCCCCCCCCCTTCTAAAGGGAGGGGGGGCTCAGGGTTTGGAGGCTTTCCTAAGCACTTGTCCTACGAAAGAGGGCTTTTCCAAATCTTCGGCCTTGGGGCCTTAGGGGGAAATAGGGTTTATGAGGGTTTAGGGTTTAGGGTTTAGGGATTAGGGTTTTGGGTTTAGGGTTTAGGGTTTAGGGTTTAGGGTTTAGGGATTAGGGATTAGGGTGTTGAAAGGTCAAGCACCAAATTTCTGGCACTGTGCCGATCCTTTCTCGTCGTGCTGAGGGAGTTCCCAAGGGAGGCTATGTTGAAATAAACGAAGCCCGGTGCGCGAAGCTACCCCGACATGTTGGCCAACATACCGCAAATGTGCAGGCTGTAGGCTCTTATGATCTAAGATGGCCCTCAAAACCATCTGAAAAATAATCCTGAGTACGATCCTCTTAAACCCAAGATCCCAGGGGCCTACCTGGTGATGGTTTCGGGCCGACCCTGAACCCTAAATCCTGTCTCCAACATCCGCCGAAAGGACCGCCTCGTCTGCGATGGCTCGCAGGAAAGGGTGCTGGAACACCTGGGGGTCCGAGGGATCTCAGTTTGACCCTAAACCCTAAACCCTTACTAAACCCTAAACCCTAAGCCCTAAACCCTACACCCTAAAGCCTAAAGCCTAAACCCTAAACCCTAAACCCTAAACCCTACACCCTACACCCTAAACCCTAGCCCTAAACCAAATGTTTTAGGCGAGGCGGGGGGGGGGGGGTTCGAAGGTTTAAGGACTCAGGGTTCAGGGCTTGGACCTTATACCCTAAAAGGTCTCTGAGAAAGGGTTTACTATGGGGATTACGAAGCCTGATCACCTAGGATGGCCCTTAAGACCTGAAAGATAGTCGTAAGTATCCGCTTAAACCCAAGAAGGCGAAGATCCAAAATATCCCAAAGGGTCTACCTAGTAACCCTAAACCCGAAGCCTAGAAAATCCCGACTGGGTGTAAGGCTTGACATCAGGCTTCGGGTTTATGGGTTTAGGGTTTCGGGTTTAGGGCTTTTAGGGCTGAGGGAAACCCGTCCTTCTTGGTCGCATTGTATCGCATGTTGCGAACATACACAGGACCCTAAACCCTAAACCCTCAACCCTCAACCCTCAACCTTAAACCCTAAACCCTCAACCCCAAAATCCCCCAAAGCCCCCGAACCCTCGAGCTGACCAGGGCGGCGCAGCGGCTCTGACGGCGCTTGGCCGTGAGGGCACCACGGAGCCTTGAGGACGAAAATGGAGCCCTTTCCCAAAGGATCCATGTACCTATATAGTATATACTTGGGCCTTAAAGGGGTTCCTATATAGTAGCTTTAGGGCCCAAGTATATGCTATGCAGGTACGTGGATCCTTTGGGTTCAAGAGGGCTATTACGGTGCGGCTTCGCTGCAG